CACACACACACACACACACACACACGCTGTGGTCGTGTCTTCTACTTGAGGGTGCTGTAACACAGTAATGAGTGTAAAGCTGATGTGTGTATCAGTGTGTGAGAGACATCTGTGTCTCAGGCTGTGTTCATGCCTGCCTGCGTGTGTGTGTGTGTGTGTGTGTGTGTGTGTGTGTGTGTGTTATGTAAAAGCAGGTCAGGTTATAATAGGATCCTAGCCCAGGACAGCCCAGGACATTACTCAGGTGATCTATATATAGCGTGGTTCTCCCTGATGTCACCACAGCCTTCCTCTTGTTATCTAATCTACCTCACTAATCCCTGCCTGGCACTAACGTAACTACTGGCCCTGACCCCATTCACCAGCCAGGCTTCTAAACCTGTTCCACCCTGACCCCATTCACCAGCCAGGCTTCTAAACCTGTTCCACCCTGACCCCATTCACCAGCCAGGCTTCTAAACCTGTTCCACCCTGACCCGTTCACCAGCCAGGCTTCTAAATCTGTTCCATATCTGATCTTCCTGTTTATCATTTTACAGCCCCAACAGAAAGATATCCAGCACTGCCTTTGGACGGTAAGTTACTGAGATCATCTTTTTCCAGCCCCAACAGAAAGGGAGAGGGAGTCTGAGAGGGAGAGGGGGTCTGGGAGGGAGGGGGTCTGGGAGGGAGGGAGAGGGAGGGAGGGAGGGTGGGAGTGAGGGAGAGGCGGTCTGAGAGGCTGGAGGGAGTCTGAGGGAGGGTGGGAGGGTCTGGGAGGAGGGATGGGAGTCTGGTGGGATTGAGGGAGGTGAGACTGGACTTCTTGTTATCATTATGGTCTTTGTATGAGGGACTTACCTGTGTCGTGTCGTTGTTTTGTTGTTATCCTGCTTCTTCTTTGATCTTCTAGCATATTACTTGGATTCCTCTTCCTGCTTCTCTTTCCACCCTTTCCTTGTGCGTCCTGTCCGCCTTCTTTCTCTGCTGGTCTCGTGTCCGTTTCTCCGTTGTATTTTATCTTTCATCCGCTCTACTATACTTTGGGACAAATCTTCATCATAAAAATGCATCACAAGAAACAAGAATTTAGTTAACTCCCCCTCTTCCTCTTACCTCTCTTCCCCGTACAAGCTCTCTCCCTCCCTTCTACCTCCTCCCGCATGAAACAGTTTTCCCTTTACTCTTCTCATTTCCACCTCTCCCCTCTCCTCACCCCTCCTCCTCCTCCTCCCCCCTCCTCCTCCCTCTACAGTCAGTTGTTCCAGCACAACCACAGTGCGTTTAGCAGCAGTCAGGGAAGCACAGAGGACCTGTTCAGAGACTCCATCGACTCTTGTGATGTGGACATTACTGAGAAGGTACACACACACGGTACAGACACACACACACACACACCACCCCGTACCCCCCCAAAACAGACATTTTCCCCTGTAAATGAACTGCTATGATGATTATTAGCCCACAATTAAAACACCTCTGTCATATAAGAGTTTTATTTCAGGCAGTTATGAATATAGCCTAACAGCCAAATCCATCCCCTGAAGAGGACACTAGACTATCACAGGGCTTTACCCCCTGGACAGGACACTAGACTAACACAGGGCTTTACCCCCTGGACAGGACACTAGACTATCACAGGGCTTTACCCCCTGGACAGGACACTAGACTATCACAGGGCTTTACCCCCTGGACAGGACACTAAACTATCACAGGCCTTTACCCCCTGGACAGGACACTAGACTATCACAGGCCTTTACCCCCTGGACAGGACACTAGACTAACACAGGGCTTTACCCCCTGGACAGGACACTAGACTTCACAGGCCTTTACCCCCTGGACAGGACACTAGACTATCACAGGGCTTTACCCCAAATCCATCTCCTGGACAGGACACTAGACTATCACAGGGCTTTACCCCAAATCCATCTCCTTGGGAGAGCACTAGACTATCACAGGATTTTACCCAAAATCCAGCTCCTTGGCAGGACACTAGACTATCACAGGGCTTTACCCCAAATCCACTCCTTGGCTGAGTAGGGAGCCATCGGGTCCCGTTTCTTTGGTCTCACCTGTACCTATGTGTCTGTCTGTCTGTATGTCTGTCTGTCCTCAGGTGAGTTACCTGGAGAAGAAGGTGACAGAGCTGGAGAATGACAATCTGGCTAATGGAAACCTCAAGTCTAAACTCAAACAGGGCAACACACAGCTAGTACACAGGTAAGATATACTGTATATATAAATATATACAAATGTCAAATATCTCAATTACTTTCACATACATTCAAAGTAAGTATTCAGTTATATTTTCAATATTGTAATGTTTTGGAAATACACTTGGCAAGTATTTGATAGTATTTTCAAATACTTATTTCAAATACTATTTTCAAATACCTGGGTTAAATGCATATGAGTGTATTTAAGTTAGTGTATTTGAAATACAATTTGGCAGACTATTCGGTTTTTACAAATAACTATTCAAATACTCAAATAAAGGTACTTGTTTTGGGCTGTGTATTTGAAAATACAGTACTCAAATACACAAAAGGATTTTAAATACCAGATAACAGTAGTGTATACTTATGAATAGAAAGGCACAGGGCGGGATTCAATCAAAGGTGCGTTGTTGGCAAGTGACACTTGACATTTTAAAGGTAATTTACACTTGAGCTGACATCTGCAGTGTTTACCGTGAATGTCAACGTCAGGGAAATGTCCTTTAAATGGTGCATTGTTGGTAGTGTTGACGATTTGCCTCTGATTGAATCCCGGCCACACTGTTTTTAAGACTTTTATTGATATTTATGACATTTGTGTAATGACGATGTTGTCTCTCTGTCTCCCAGGGTTCATTGTGTAATGACGATGTTGTGTCTCTCTGTCTCCCAGGGTTCATTGTGTAATGACGATGTTGTGTCTCTCTGTCTCCCAGGGTTCATTGTGTAATGACGATGTTGTGTCTCTCTGTCTCCCAGGGTTCATGAGTTGGAGGAGCAGCTGAAGGATCAGGAGAGCAGAGCCGAACAGACCCTAGAGGAAGAGGCACATAGACACAGAGAGACCTACTGCAAGATGGAGAGAGACAAGAACACTGACATAGAGATGCTCAGTAACAGGTACACACACACTTGTTCTGGTACGATGGAACCAATGAAATAGTCCCAAAAGTCCAACCTCCGAGCGAAATCAAGTGCACCTTAGTAACACACAGGAACCCCTTAGTAACACACAGGAACCCCTTAGTAACACACAGGAACCCCTTAGTAACACACAGGAACCCCTTAGTAACACACAGGAACCCCTTAGTAACACACAGGAACCCCTTAGTAACACACAGGAACACCTTAATAACACACAGGAACCCCTTAGTAACACACAGGAACACCTTAATAACACACAGGAACCCCTTAGTAACACACAGGAACCCCTTAGTAACACACAGGAACACCTTAATAACACACAGGAACCCCTTAGTAACACACAGGAACACCTTAGTAACACACAGGAACCCCTTAGTAACACACAGGAACCCCTTAGTAACACAGAGGAACCCCTTAGTAACACACAGGAACACCTTAGTAACACACAGGAACCCCTTAGTAACACACAGGAACAGCTGTAAATTGGTCATATAAATGGTAGATATCTGCATAACTGTTTTCTGTCTCTATAGAGTCCAGCAGCTGGAGGAGGAGAATGGAGAGATGAAACTGAATGTGTGTAAACTGAAGTCTCAGACTGAGAAACTAGACCAGGTGGGTGGTCATACAGTCTGCCTGTCTGCCTGTCTGTCTGTCTGCCTGTATGCCTGTCTGTCAATGGATTACTCTCCCCCATCTCTCTCTCTCCCCTCTCCCTCCCCCAGGAGAAGCAGCGTATGACAGACAGGTTAGAGGACACCAGTCTGAGGCTGAAAGATGAGATGGACCTCTACAGGAAGATGATGGACAAGCTGTGGCAGAACAGACATGAATTCCAGAAGGAGAGAGAGGCCATGCAAGAGGTACACACATGGACCCGCGCGGACACACACACACACACACACACACACACACACACACACACACACACACACACACACACACACACACACACACACACACACACACACTATCATTGTAATATATTTTCCTCCATTCATTCCTATTGCACTCTACTGCTTTAGACCAAATTCACCATCTTCTGTATTTTAACTTCTAAGGACCAAAGAAACTACATTGATGTGACAGACAAACTCTCTCTCTCCCTCCCCCTCCATCTCTCTCCCTCTCCATCTCTCTCTCCCTCCCCCTCCATCTCTCCCTCCCTCTCTCCCTCCCCCTTCATCTCTCTCTCCCTCCCCCCTTCATCTCTCTCCCTCCCCCCTCCATCTCTCTCGCTCCCTCCCCCTCCATCTCTCCTCTCTCTCTCTCCTCCCCCCCTCCACCCTCTCTCTCCCTCCCACTCCACATCTCTCTCCCTCCCCCTCCATCTCTCTCTACCTCCCCTCCCTCCCTCTTTCCCCCTCATCTCTCTCTCCCTCCATCTCTCTCCTCCCTCCCCCCCTCCCTCTTTCCCCCCTCCATCTCTCCCTCCCTCCCCCTCCATCTCTCTCCCCCCCTTCCCACTCTCTCTTGCCACCCTACTACTCTCCATCTCTCTCTCCCCCTCTATCTCTCCCCCTACCCTCCCTCCCCCTCCCTC